GATGTCGACGCGGTAGAATGCCGTCATCTTGTACGTGTCCAGCAGAATCGAGGGAAACGGCGCCGACGACGTGCTGCCGTCGTTGAGCACTACGACGGGCGGCGGGTAGTTGCGTGGCGTCAGCAGCAGCACGCTGCCGTGCCATGTGGCGGTTTGCAGGTCGGTGTCGACGTACATGAGGGCAGGCCCGATGATGCCGTCGGGGCGTCGCCGCAAATGCCCCAGAGGCTCGCCTGTCTGTCCGTCAAAGTTTCCCTCGTAGCAGTCTGGGTCTCCTACCGCCCCCATATGCATGCCCGGGTAGTTTGCCGGCCCGCCCTGTGGGATGCCGTTTTCGTCATACTGCGTGGGCCGGACGCCCTGCCTCTCGTTGTATTGTTCCCTGTGTACTGGGAAATCCATTGCCGCCGCTTTAGAAAAAATATACTGCGAATAACTATAAAATAGAAAAAGAAAGATGGGTTTTTCCGCATCTCTGATTTTTTTTTTCTGCCTTTGAAAGCGTCACCTGGAAAAGAGGCAAAGTATAAAAGCTTCTGTATAAAGGCTGAAAAGAAGTCGAGGCCTAAATCTAAAGATTAGATTTAAATTATAGTTTCGGCTCATGCTCATAAGCAGGACCAGCATATCTGCTACAGATCATTGTGCATGCATCAGTTGAGCCCTTCTCACACGCCCAGATGATGCCCAGCTCTACTGTGCGGCTGTTCTCGTGTGCGTGCTTGCCATATATAGTACTCTCCGAGAACTGTGGGTTCTCTGGGCTTTGAGCTCGCGGGAGTAAATGGAGCACTTGCTCTCAAAACCCAGAGCCCTGGTAAATTTTCTATTTTGGTTCAGCTAAAAATAAGTTGTGACATCTGAGCATTCTCTATTGTTCACGCTCGCTAAATTAACCATACTTCTCCCCCCCCCAAGGATCTCTATACACTTTGGATCCAGCCCTTGCACAAGCGAGGCTCTGAGCTGGCCATCTTAAGGACAAGCAAATACTGAAGGCATATGTGGTGAGCGAGCTTGCTCGGTCCACGCCTGGCCAAAAGGCGCTTTATAGGCAGGCCGAGCGTCGCCTCTTAAGGGGGGTGTCTGACGCAATGATGATTAATAGGATGCATTTTTGACAAATCGAAAAAGGGTCGATCTATATTTAAAGTCTTGGCAAAAAAAAATCGTGGTGGCCCCACACACACTAGTCTTCTTCAATGACGCAACTGTAAACAACCCATTTTCCACAACCGCAGAAAACAACATATCATGCAGGATCGGCCGTCAAAAGAATATTTTCTTTTGAATGTAGTGACTCGGGAACTAGAAAAAAAAATAATTTGGGGGTAATTGGAACAAGGGTATATAAGGAACTCCATTTGAATCCATATTCCCCTCCCTTTCTCTATAGGTTCGACTCTTTTTAACCCTTTTTTTCTCTCTCTCCCATCCTTCGCGTCTCCTTTTAATTTGTAATCTTTACAATGCAGTTTGCCAAGACTATTGCTTTTACCGCTCTTGCTGTGGCTGTTGCTGCTCAGGATATCGGTGACGGAACTCAGATCACCGCCCCGGGTGATGCCACCGACGTATCATCTGCCCCTGAGGTTCCTTCGGATGGTGCTTCTGGCACTGACACCGGCGCTGCGACGGGCACCGACACTGGTGCTGAATCTGGTGCCGAGTCTGGCGCTGAATCTGGCGCCGAGTCCGGTGCTGAATCTGGCGCTGAGTCCGGTGCTGAATCTGGCGCCGAGTCTGGTGCTGAGTCTGGCGCTGAGTCCGGTGCTGAATCTGGTGCCGAGTCTGGTGCTGACACTGGCGCTGACACTGGTGCTGACACTGGCGCTGACACTGGCGCTGACACTGGCGCCGATACTGGCGCCGAGACCGGTACCGACGCCGACACCGGCGCATCGGATGTCTCAGACGTCTCAGATGACTCAGGCGCCTCGGGCGAGGAGTCCGATCTGTCGGGCGACATCTCGGATAGCGACGAAGAGTCCAGCGACGATACGACATCGGGCAGCCCAGCCAACGCCGTCTTTGCCCCGATCGCCGCTGTTGCCGCCATCGCCGTTGCTTCTTTCTTCTAAAGCATTTTTTTATTTTTCATCTGCAAGAATAAAATTTATATAAACCGCATTTTAAAGTACTTAGGCTTTGAACGAATATTTGGGCAGCTGAGCACGTCGTTCTTCCTACAGGTAAACATGTTTAGTGTTTGCATTACACATTGTCAAATATGTACTTACCGCTGATATATGCGTGTCGGCATATACTAAACGGGTGGTTCTGGCCTTTCGTGGCTTGGGGTCATCTACAGGAGCAGGCATATGGGAGTTAGGTTCATTGGGCTTACCAAGAACGGGTGGCATGGGCATTGGTGGTGGAGGCCGTGGGGGTAGCGACGTTGGCGACGGCATATGCTGGGCTGGGGACATATGCTGGGCTGGGGGCATATGCTGGGCTGACGGCATATGTGGAGCCGATGGCATCTGCTGATGCGCGGTCGTGTATTGCGGGTACGGGGCCGGATATGTAGCCGCCGGGTATGTGGCCGCCGGATATGTGGCCGCTGGGTATGTAGCTGCCGGGTATGTAGCTACCGGATACGCAGGGTGGGCAAAGCCAGCCGGCGGCACTGACGGAGGAACTGGCGGCGGGGGACGCGGCGCAAATGGCATAAAGCCAGCCGGCTGCTGCTGCTGGGAATAGTCCGCGGGCATCTGTCGCTGCTGCATGGCCAAGCGATGCTGCTCCAGCTGCCACTTGAGCTGATCAGCATCAACCACAGCAGACGCCCCGGCATCGCCATGGCTACGAGCACGTTTGGGGGCTGGCTCGCCCACCTGCCCGCGCTTACGCACCTCGTAGTCCTCGGCGTCCTGCTCGGGAATCCCCAGGCTGCCGAAAATGTCGACATCGGGCGTGTCGCGGCCAGGCAGGGCGTTGGGAACGCGGCGGATGTTCTCCTTGTGCACCTGCGCAACATGAATCACCATGCCGTTGGCAGTGTTCAGCCGCTTGGAGCAAATGTGGCATTTGAAATGCTTGGCCTTCTGGTGCTGCACCAGCACCTTCTCGTCCTCAAACTCCCGCTCGCAGTACCAGCACCACGGCTTCAACTCGATTTTCTTGCTCTTTTTCCGCCCCATTTAAAAAGAATTAAGAAGAAAACAACATTTTTTTTTCAATCGAAATGGATGGGTCATGTCAGGTATTGCCGGTGGCACTGGCAGTAATTGTCGGCGGCGTCGTGCTATACGTGGTGTTTGTACGGTCGAGCTCGTCGAAGGCTGTTCCTTTTGAGCTGAAGCCGCCCCCGGAGAGTCTTCCGGGCTGGACCGCAGGCGAGATCCTGCAGGAGCCCAGTATCCAGGTGGCCGGCGCGCCCGAGCTGATCCAGTGCTTCGACCCGGCGACCGGCCGCTCCCTGGGCCAGGTCCCGGCAACCACCCTGCCGCAGCTAGCCGACAAGATGCAGCGGGCCCGCAGCGCGCAAGTGTCCTGGGCGCAAACGACCTTTGAGCAGCGGCGGCAAGTCCTACGCACGCTGCACGCGTTTGTACTCGGACACCAGCGGGAGATCTGCCAGGTGGCATGCCGCGACTCGGGCAAAACACTGATCGACGCGACTCTGGGCGAGGTGCTGACGACGGCTGCCAAGCTGCAGTGGACAATCCAGCACGGCGAGGATGCGCTCAAGGACGACAGGCGCGACCCGGGCTTTATGATGATGTATAAGCGCGCCAAGGTTGTCTACCAGCCCCGGGGCCTGGTCGCTGCGCTGGTTTCGTGGAACTACCCTTTCCATAACACGGTCGGCCCGGTTATCTCGGCCCTGTTTGCCGGCAACGCCATCATTGTCAAGGCCAGCGAGCATGTGGCGTGGAGCATGTGCTACTGGGAGCAGATGGTCAAGCGCGCCCTCAACGTGTGCGGCCACGACCCCGACCTGGTCCACTTTGTCACCGGATTTGCCGACATCGGCAGTGCTGTCACTTCCTCGCCGCTGATCGACCACATCACGTTTATCGGATCTCCCGAAGTGGGCAAGCTGGTTATGCGCGCTGCCAGCGCCAATCTCACGCCAGTAACCTTGGAGCTGGGCGGCAAGGACTGTGCCATCGTGTTTGGCGATGCCGATCTAGCCCAGTGCGTGCCGGTGCTTATGCGCAGCGTTATCCAGAACGCCTCCCAGAACTGCATCGGCATCGAGCGCATTCTGGTCCAGGACTCTGTCTACAGCAAGGTCGTGGCTGAGATGACCCGCCGTATGAAGGCAGTGCGGGTAGGCGCCATTCTGGACGACGAGCCCAACTCGGTTGACTGCGGTGCTATGGTCCTGCCCAACTGCTTCGACCGTCTCGAGGAGCTGATCGCCGATGCCGTGTCCAAGGGCGCCCGCTGCCTGGTCGGCGGCCAACGCTACCGCCACCCGCACCACCCGCATGGCCAGTACTTTGCCCCCACCCTGCTGGTCGATGTCACTCCCGACATGGACATTACCCGCAACGAAACCTTTGGCCCTATCATGGTCATCATGAAGTTCTCTGATGAGCCCGATGCCCTGCATAAAGTCCACTCCTCTCCCTACGGTCTCGGCTCCAGCGTCTTCTCCTCCGACCGCGCTCGCGCCCGCCGTGTCGCTCTCAAGCTCCGCACCGGCATGACCAACGTCAATGACTTTGGCGTAAACTATATCTGCCAGTCGCTGCCCTTTGGCGGTGTCGGCATCAGCGGCTTTGGTCGCTTTGCTGGTCCCGAGGGTCTCCGTGCTCTCTGCGTCGAAAAGGCCTTCACTGAAGACAGAATCCCCTTTGTTAAAACTCCCATCCCGCCCATCGTCGACTATCCCATCCAGGACTCCGAGAAGGGCTATGCCTTCACCCAGCAGATTGTGGCCTTTGCCTATGCCGACTCGTGGTGGCAGTCCATCAAGGCCGGGCTGCGTCTGGGCAAAATATCTCTCTAGCTATTCTCTGACTGAATAAAAATAATGCAAAAAAGTGTGGTATCGGTGGGATTCGAACCCACGCCTATTTCTAGACTCGAACTTGAGTCGAGCGCCTTAGACCACTCGGCCACAATACCTCAGAAACTCAAGCTAACCAGCTTTTGTCCTCTGAGCAACTGGTTCTATTTAGGATAGTTAAAGGTGCTAATAAAACATTAAAGAAAAATGGTCGACGGATCATCCATTATTGAAGACTTTAAATAGCATAATTACATGTATTGTGTTTCATTGAGCATTATTAGAGTGCGCCTCGCGAGTTGACAACCTTGAGTGGGGATTTAATTTCGTCCATGCTTTCTTCGTCGCTGGACACAGTGGCCAGCTCGATCTGCTCATCCAAGTCGCTCAGCTGCATGCTAGGAAGATCATCGTTAGAGCAGCCAGAGAAGCGGACTGAATGTCTCGGGTTAGATCTACGAGCACGATAAGTGGGGATGTTGGCAGACAGGGTCAACTTGCGACTAACATATGGAGTATCATTGCTTTCGTCCAGAATGCGAGCATGACGCATATTTTCCTGCGCTCGTTGAGTCTGCTCGCCATCCACAACAGTGGTGGTTCCCTCGGACAAGGAGTGAGACCGCATGTTGGAGCCATCGCCTGACTTGCCTTCTGTGGCAAAGGATTTACGTGGCAACGTTCTTGCATCCACGGATGGTCGGCTAAAGTAGCTGGATGGGCGGAGCGTTTCCGCATAGCTTTCGACAAACGAGCGGATGCCTTCTCGGCCGGACTGCCGTCTGGCTCGTGGCCGGGACCGGTTGACAAATATGTCGCGGCACACGAATACCAGGTAGTATAGGGCCACCAGGGTCACCACGATGGCGAGTATATGGCAGATGGCCACGACGGCGTTAGTTTTGCCGGTGCGCTTCTCCCGCCACTCGATGTCTAGCTCCGCTTTGGATATCCCCGATGGCGAGTATTTGCTGACAAATGCCTTTTTGTTCAGGTCGTAAAAGTAGATGTCAGGATCTCCGCCATATTTGCCATCGGCAAGTTGTATGTAGCCATGAGTTATGATCAGGTAGTCGCCCAGCGTCTTCATCTGATGGGCATACCGCGGCACGGGTGCGTTGGGCGTGGGCAGTTTCCGCCATACCCAGGTCAGCGTGTCGAGTGCATACAGGTCGTTGTAGAAATCGGACCAGTTGGTTACATTGACGCCACCAAATATGTAAATGTCTTGGTTGTGTTGTGATGCAGAAAACACGCATCTTTTGGGTGGAACATCACCTGTGCAGTTCTGCTTGCGCCATTTCATGGTATCGATGTCATAAATGTAAACAGTATCGAATGGCTGCATAACTGCAGCCTTGCCGTCATAGACATCCCCGCCAAGAACCACCATCTGAGTGTCGTTCAGCAATATGCTGGAATGGTGGATTACCCCAGATATGTTGCTGGGCGTCAAGTCGCCATTGTCGCTTAGAATCATTCCGAGCTTTGTATTGTCTGCTGCTGAATTGCCCAAGCGCCGTTGATTGGCATTGTGCCGCTCATTGTCCAGTATCAAGCGGTTGACTTGCAGCCATCGGGATCCCTGGCTGTCACCGCCAGCTGTGGTGTCGTCGCTGGCTCCTCCAAAAACAACCATGTCGCCGGATTTTTCCTGCAATACCGCCGTGTGCACGTATCGACGGACATCCCGGTCGACTACATTGGATGCCCCCCATGCCTGGAACAGCGTGCAATAGACGGCCAGGTTTATTGCTTTTGAAAACCCCACTGGTGACTGGCCGCCAAACGGCACAATAACATGGTTGTAGCGGTTATACACTGTTGTGTGCTGTGCCAGGGGCGGCATGGCAAACTGCGATGCCGAGCCTTGTAGCCGCCATTTGGGGGCATTTTGGTCGATGGATTTGGTTATATCCACGCATCGGTAATCAAGCACAAAGCTGCTAAGATTAGTGTCTGTGCCTGGTCCTTTCCCGCCAAACACGCACAGCTGGCCATTAAATATCTCCATCGTATGCTGAAAACGAGGAACCTTTTGCAGCTCGCTACCACCAACCATTAAAATATGCAGTAGTAAACATATAGCCAACATCATATTCTACAAAGACCTATAAAAAGAATAAAAAAATCAAAAGAGAGAGAGAGAGGAGCTTTTGTCTCTTGTCAAATGATAGAATAGTGGCTGCAGATGTTTTGCTGGGCGGGTCGGATGCCAAAATTTCCATTTAAAATATGTATTAGAAAAAAACATGCGCGTAAAGTAACAAGTTTATTGTGCAGGTCCCGGTCGTATGGATGCACCTGAACGAGCCTGGTTCTGTATATGGTGTGCTAGCAGCTGTTGTAATGCCTGTCGTTGCTCGACAGTAAGCTGTGCCTGGGCATTTTGAAGCAGGTAAACAATCAGCGATGGCGGCAGCACTGCCGCATTGATCTGTCCCGACGAAAGCTGTTGCAGAATCGATGCTACGTTGGCCGCCGGCGGCCGTGGTGCTGCATTTGTAGCAGGCTGAGTCTGTTGAGTCTGTGCTTGCTGCTGCTGCAATGTCTGTTGCATTTGCTGCATTTGCTGGAATCTTTGCAGCAGTTGCTGTTGGGCAGCGGTCATCATTGGTGGATTGGCTGCTGCAGGGTTCAGATTGTTCATCATGGCTGCCACTGGTCGCTGCTGCTGTAAAGACTGTGCCTGGGTAGCTCCCAGCTGCGGATTAGGACGCACAGCCGGTGATGGCGACATGACAGGCATTCCTGGACGCACCATATTCTGCTGCCCATTCAGCGCTCCTGCACGAGGCCGCTGCAGCATCTCCAGCAAGCGCTGCTTTTCGTGCGGGGGCAAATTGGCCAGCTGAGCCCCAATGTTTGCTGGTGCCGAAATATTCTGCGTGGAATTCTGTGCTGACTGCTGCGAGTTTAGCTGCTGAAGCCGTGCCAGCATCATTGCCTTTAGTTCCCCTGACTTGGCCTTGGCAATCAGGTGCGGCAGCCGTGCATCCTGGTATCCCTGCAACTGAATCTCCATTAGACGGCAATACTGCTGAACCAATGCAATGTCTTCGCCGGTTGCTTGCAGTTGCTGCAGAATGGGCGGAATGTTGCTGGGTGCTGCTGGTCGCATGTTTGGTAGGATGTTGGGCCGGATGCTCTGCTGTGGAGGAGTAGGCTGTCCTTGCTGCCCCTGCTGAGCTTGCTGTGCCGCAAACTGAGCCATTTGCTTTCGAAACATCTGGTAGTAATACGGGTTGGCCTGTAGATACTCCTTTGTAATATGCGTAGGCAAATCTGTCAGCGGCCGTCCTTCGGCTGCTGCCATGCTGGCAATCTGTGCATTGATATAAGTTATCACATTCTGCGCCATCGGGACCGAAGCGTTGGCCATGCTGGGTGTAGGTGGCACTGGCGATTGCATTGGCATTGGCGTAGATATGTTGGCAGCGGCAACGGTGGTGGTTGGCGACAATGGCAGTTCGCTATTTGCCCGGCTAGCAGTATTGGGATTCTGCGCCAATGGCTTGTCATCATCGGCATTATCGCTCTTGCCGTCAGGAGTTGGCGATGCCAATGTCTCTGGCTCAGCAGTGTCTGATTTTTTGGATTTGCGTGGCTTCTTTTCTTTGCGGGGCTTCTTCTCCTTGGTCTTTGCCTTGGCTGATGCAGAATTACCATTTGCTGCCGGAGTCACTGGCGTCTCTTGTGACACCACACTAACAGGCGATTCCTGGCGAGCCAATGCGGCATCTTCGCTGGTTCCGGCCGGCGTATTGCTGCCTTCAGGCTCAACGCTCTTCTTTGCCTGTTTGGGCTGAGGAGAGTTTTTGCGCGAATTGCGTGCACTGCCCTTGGCCACCGATGTACTGCTTTTGGTTGTTGACGATGCTGCTGCTGCTGCTGCTGGTGGAGGCGGTGCGGCTGGTGATTCTGGCGGCGGTCCCAATGTGGGCTGGCCGTTGGGATACAGCGAGTCATAGATAAGCCGGTTGTTCTCGATGCTAAGTAGCAGCTTAAAGTTATCGATATGCATATGCATAATGTCTTCGTTGGGAAATGAAAACACTTTGGACCCGCCATTGATCGAAGTATCGGGAAGCGTGCCCCAGCGCATGATCCCTTGCAAGCCCTGAGTGTCTGGAAGCTCGACCACGTGAAAGACCGTGTGCACTGACCTGTTGTTGATGGTCTGCACAAACCGCAGGGTGCGGATGACTTTGCGGCCGTCGGGCAGCAATGATAACTGATTGCGGCCCTTCTTTGTCGCGGGCTTTTTGCCTGCCAATGTGGGCGGCAAGGCAGCCGGGTACACTTCATTGTCACTAACATTCTTCTTGTGACGCCATTCGTTGACCTGCGATACGCGAGTAAAGCTCGGCTGGAAATCGCGGCTGGTACGATCATCCATAAGCGTCAGCAGCTTCAATTTCTCTTCGCGTTCAGCCTGTTCAGCCTCAATCTCGGCCGAATTGTATTTGCGCGGATGGCGAGGGAGCAGGTGGCCATACTCGATATACCGTATGGCGTTGCTCACGCGACTGATTTGAAAGTCTGGCTCCAGATCCAGCGGCTGCTCCACAGCAAGCAGCACCATGCTCTCCATTTCCAGCAAGTCTTCTCCATTCAGCCTGGTGCGGCTATGTTCGCAAGTCAAGTGCAGGTCAAGATTGAGTGTTTCGGATGTGGGCCGCATCACTTTTCGGTACACTTTGGATTCCACGGTGCTGATGGCTGTTGTGCCGGGCTCGGGGATCTGGCTATCGCTAAGGTTCGACCATGTAAGCAAGTTTGTAGTGCGTTGCCGTTTGACTTTGGGCGCTTGCGTCGGCTGCCGGTGGTCGTGCACTTCGACAATCAAGCACCCCTCATAGTAACGACAGTTTACCTGTGCGAGCACATCGACCAGATCCACCGGTATTTTGCCCTCGTTCAAAGCGTCAAAGAAAAACCGCATTGGCCCGTTGTACAGAAACACTCCTTCTTGGCCGTCAAACCGAAAGTGCGAATCAAACAGGTGCAGCATCAGAGAAGGACTCTCGTCCTTGAATCGCTCTAGCATGTCGGTATCGCCGATATTTACTGTGTGTCGTGGCCGTTTGCGTGTTTGTGGTGTTGTGTCAGCGTTAAG